TCATTTACAGTCGGGCCGGACCGAAACTTAACAGCGAAAAAACCTTTGCCCAGCGCGGGCAGCACGTGGACGATCCTCCGGCCCGTTGGGCCCGCACTCGAGTTTTTTTTTTTTTTTTTTTTTTTTTTTTATAAATCGCGGCACCATCGCTAGCATGCCAACACAGTGGGGTTATATCAAATCGTCTAATCTTCCAGAGCCCTAGCTCTAGCAGAAACCAACAGATATCGCATCTAGGCATTTTTTCGGGGGGGCCGACTCCCCTTCTCATCTTGAGCTTGCGATTGGGGAAAAGACACATGCGCCGCTGTTCTAGAGGAGCTGCGCCTGTTTCCTTCGGGGGGCTCGCCTGATACATCTCTTAATGTGTTTTAAATCGCTCTCAGCTAATTCCTGAACATCAGCGCTGCGCTAAAAAGGGTAATCTTGGATTGCCCTTTCCGACCTCCAGTCTTCATACTCAAATTCAGAAGCTCCCATCCCGCCCCCCCGCCCGCCCAAACTAAGCGCCCCCGCCCACTCCTGAGCTGACGGCAGGGCTGTGCACGCAAGCCGACCATCGCGACGCTTCGGTCCGCACCGACAACGCGCTGCGGCTCGGGCGGCCCTCGTGGCCTCAGCTGGGCGTCCTCGCCCCCGCGCTTCCCAGGCTTCGGCCATGAGTCCCGCCTTGCGTTCTCTGGCATGCTTTCGGCGCCCCCGAGAAAGAGCGCGACTCAACTCGGCAAGCTCAGTCTCAATGTGTTCGACCTCTCCCTCCGAACAAGCGAGTCTGGAGCCCCGAAGAGCATCCCATTTTTAAAGCAACTCTCTGCGATGGATAGCAAACTGCCGATATTCACCACTCGCGACCACTGGTTTAAAACAGGCTTGCCCAGCTTTGACCAGGCTCCGCTCCAAAGTCTCAAAAACCTGATCTGGCGCAGCGTGCTCTTTTAGCCGCAAGGGGTGTGCCTGCTGCAGCTCATCCTTGACAGCTAAGAGAAATTCCCCCCGCCCCCTCCCCGTGCGCACCGCCTCCATTATCTGGTCACGCTGCCAACGTTCCCTATCTTCCTGCGCCTGATGAGGTCCGATCGAGTGCTTATTATATTGCAGGCAGCAGTGGAGTGGCAGGTGATCTTTTGGGGGAATCCCCCGCAATGCTTGCAGTTTAGCTCCTACTTTCGTTAAAATTCCTGTCGATGCGATGGCATGTCGCATCTGCTCCGGTATAAACAAGTAGTCTATACGACTCGAACTCGTGGGCCCAAAGTATGTGTGTACGATCTGTTCAGTTAAAGTGTTATAAGCGAGCATCTGATTTGAGCCAGAAGCTCACGCAGCGTCGTGCCCGCCCCGCCCCGAAGACGCTCCACCGTCCGAGCCCCCACCACCCCATCCTCGGCATCTTGTCATTGCTTCTGCTCATTCAAGAAAATCCGATTCCATCATTTAAATCCGCATATATGATGGGGGTCGTGCGAGTTGGCAGGGACGATAAAAGCGACTGTAGCCAACTGGTCATCTGTTTTACAACTCCTAGATATTGACCCTTCTGATTCGCCATATCTGGCTGCGGAAGAAAATGCATTGAGATGGGAGTGACATCTACATTCCCCCTCTTCACACGGATGCCTAGGCAGCGCCCAGAGGCCCCAGAAGGGGGGAGGCCACATCTGCTTTACACAAGAACGATCAAGGCCTGCTCCTAATATGATGTTCACTCCACAGCTACGATTGCTATATGGCGACTCGCGTGCCCCCCAGGGGGCCTCAATCACTGTCTTCCCACTTATTCTGCGAGTCAAAAGGGTGCACTCTGACGCTGAGAAAGCCTTCAGCTGTGTCCCTGCCAGCAATACGAAATCAAAGTTTGCACATTCCTCGGTGATCTCGGATAGTCTGTCCCCGCCAGCCGACTGCGGGTTGTACCCCAAGATGCGCAGACGGTCGGGCTGGCTGATGTTCGGCATGTAGTCCTGTCCTGCCAGCTGACCTTCTCACTCCATCGCGGCGCACATCGGATTGTGGCCCCTCTCGGAGGGACTGCACGGGAAGAAAAAGAAAAGCCCCGTCCTCTCAATCACTTGATCCTCGAGGCTTTCCTCCTCCTCCTCCTCCTCCTCCTCCTCCTCCTCCCTCTCCTGCTTTCCCTCCTCCTCCTCCTCCTCTTCCTCCTTCTCTTCCCTCTTTTACGTTGTGCGAACTTGAGCGTCGTGGCTCTGGGATTAATAAATCGAGATCCCCAAACCCAGACTTCCTCGAGTCGTGAAGAACATCACGACGGAGGGCGTTTCGATATTTTCGGCGTCTGGGGGGGGGGCCCTCACCCGTCCTCTGGACCTCTGGGGCTCGAAGTCAGGAGATTATGTCGTCGGGTGTCTGGGAACCCAGGACCCCGTCCTCGTGTTTTCTTTCACTACGTCCACCCACAAAGGTCTGGACCCCTTCTCCGTGACTAGCTTTTCATCCCTAGACGTTTTTGACGGTCCCGGGGCCCGGTAAGGGCCCCCGGAAGCCGAAAATATCGAAAAACTTCACGTCGCGATTTTTTCAAACGCGAGGGGGTCTGGGAAAAGGGATCCTCCTCTTCCTCCTCCTCCTCCTCCTCCTCCTCCTCCTCCTTCTCCTCCTCCTCCTCCTCCTCGACATCCGCGCCAGCAGATGCCATGCGACCACCAGAAGCCAACATCCACAAATTACTCGGCGGCGAGCGATGGGGGGAAGTGAGAAGGAGAAGGCCTTCTTAGAAGGCGGCGGGGCTTCTCAGAAGCCCTCGCGCCTTCTGAGGGGATTTCTGTGTCTTCGGGGAAGGCTTCGAGAAATTCTCAGAAGGCCGGGGACCCCTGAGCCTTCTGAGAAGGCCCCGCCTCTTCTCACTTCCCCCCCGGGCTCGCCGCCGAGCTGCTCTCGAAAACGCCGTGGCCAACCTCCGCCGCCGCGCCAGTCCACGAGCATCGCAGGATCACCGAGGAGGAGCGAGGGAAAGGAGGAGGGGAGGGAGGGAGGCGAAGTGGCCAGGGCGCTGTGCGGAGATCCCCAGGGGGTCCCTTCCCTGGAGGAGCAAGAAGGTACCGATGCCGCTACTCCCCTGACCTTGCCTGGGGTGCATTCTGATCAGGATCCCGGGGGGGGGGGTCCAGACTTGGTGGCGACGAGGAGGGCTCCCCCGAAGAGCCCCCCAACATGCGAAAGGCGGAGACCGGGCATCGGAATCGGTACGGTGCGGACGCGGCCGCAAGAAACCCTAGCGAGAAACTCGACCCTGGAAACCCGCACGCGAGATGCAACAGTGGAAAGCTTCTTGACGGCCTCGGAAACTTCTTGGACGGCCGCGGAAAGCCACTGCGCAGCGCGCGGAGCGAAGAATCCCGAAACATCCTGACGAAACGCATCCGGTTTCTTGATGCCCGACCTCACTCTAGTGGGGAACACGAAACTAGAATCGGCCATACATTGCCGACAGATCGGCCAGAGGGGCCGATGCGTTCGCCCCAGAGTCGGTTCCCCCCTATCGTTGCCCCTCCATGCCTTGGAAAAAACAACAATGATCAGAATAAACACGAATTGTCGGTGGTTCGCGCGGAGTTCTTGGATCGGCTCTGGGCCACTCTGGCGGCGCCTCTGGCGCCGTCCCTGGTGCGCTTCTCGCGGCAGGGATGGGCGTCCAGCGCCGATCGAAGAAATCCGGGCGGACCTTCGAAAGCTTATGTCCGTCATGCCTCCAAGAAGTCCCGAGAGGACCACAAGACTGCACCAAGTGCTCTCGGGCCCCCCTCAGGACTTCGCCAAAAGGCCAACACCCTTCAAACACCTCAGGAACTTTGGCTTCAATGGTGTCTCGACTTTTCGCTTATGATGCGGTTTTGATCCCAAGATAGCCCCAATATGGCCGAAGAGAGACCCAAGAGGCATCCAAGACGCCCCCAAGAGGGATGCAAGGGAGCCCCGAGACCCCCCGAAAGAGCCTCAAGAGGACACCAAGACCCTCTAAAGTAGCCCCAAGAGGCACACAAGAGAGCCACGAGAGAGCCCCAAGAGAAACCTTAGAGGGCCTCCAGAATACCCAATCATGGCTGTCAGAGTCTTCGTCCACTTCCTCTTCCTCCTGCTCGTCTTCGTCCTCTTCCTCCTCGCCCTCGTCTTCCCCCCCCCCCCCCCCCCGCAGCGCCTTCGGCGAGTGCCTCCCCCCCCCGGACACCAACGGGGGACCATTTTGCAGAGAGAGGGATGAGGAGGGGGAGGCAGCCTCACCATCCTGTATCCTGAGACCGCCCTCGTCCTCCTCGTCCTCCTTCGCGTCCCGGCCCTCCTCCTCCTCCTTCTCCTTCTCCTCCTCCTCCTCCTCCTCCTCCTCCTCCTCCTCCTCGTTCCCGTCCTCGTCCGCGGTCGGACCAGGCCCAGCCCCCCGACGATGTGCGTTTTTATCATCAGCCCAGGCGTCTTCCTCCATCGCCAAGGAATCGGGGACGAGAAGCTAACCCTGGAGGAAGCGGTCGAGACCTCTGGGGCCGCGGATCGAGACGAAGAGTCTCGGCGGAGGTCGGGGTAGGAGGAGGAGGCGGTGGTGGAGGAACTTGCCAACGCTCGGACGTCCATTCCCCGTGCAAGTGTCGGTTTCGTGCGCTTCGTCATCATCGCAAGATGGTCCAAGACGCTCCTCGAGGGTCCTCGCCGAGGAAAACATGCACGCGTCCGAGCGATGCCAGGGGAAGCAAGCAGGGAGGAGGAAGGAGGAGGAGGCAGACGAAGAGGACGAGGTCGGAAGGACGGGGAGGAGGACAGGAAGGGACAGGGTAAGACAGAGAGACGGCCAGGAGGAGCGAGCCAGGGGCGGCGCTGGAGGCGCCGCCAGGGATCTGTTTCACCGCGAACACTCCACCAGCACCTAACATCCATGCGTGACTCTCGCAAGTTCAGAGGTGCTGCCAGGGGGTTCCAACGCGGACCCAGGAGATCCACGCGGCCACCCGAAGTTCATGTTCATACAGACTCTTCTTCTCCTCGTTCTTCTTCTTTTTTTTCTTCTTCGAGGCGGGCGGTTGGGAGGCACATGTATTCAGACTAGCTAAAGGCTGCGGGCAGTCGCCCGGAACGTAGTGTACATCGTGTTCTGCAAGGCGGCGCACGCTCCTGGACCTCTCCCGAAGCCTGCCCACTGCTCTGTGCGCAGTGGCGCCTGCGAACGCAGCTTGCCGGCCACGTCGTCCCCGAGCAGGGCCGGAGGCCCAGACCCCCGACGCTACGACCTGTTCAGCACGCCGATCCAGAGGTCTCGACCCGTGCCCAGGGACCGGTGCTTCATCCCGAGGCGATTTTGGACGGTCCCAGAGCCCCGAGAGGGCCCCGGAGGCCGAAAGTAGCGAAGAACTTCCCGTCGCGATTTCTTCAGGACCCGAGGGGGCCTGTGGGGACCTGCTTCCGCACCAGGCCGGCAGTGGCGGCCCGCCTGGCTGCGGCTGCGGCTTCGGAACCTGGCGAGGCGTCTGGCCCGGCCGGCGCACCGAATGACACGGGCCCTGCAGCAGGCGCCGAAGCAGAAGGGCCGAAGACCGGGCCCAGCAGCAGACCCTGCAGCGGGCCATGCAGCGGGGCTCCCCCAGCAGGCCGAAGGCCGGCGCAGGGCCCTGCAGCCGACCCAGCGGGCCATGCAGCGGGGGCTCCCCGAGCAAGGCCGAAGACCAGGCCCTGCACCAGGCTGGCAGACGTCCCAGGCTAGCGACGTCCTGTTTTTTCAGTACAACGTCCCCGGAAGTCCCGACCCTTTCCCCAGGACCGGCTTGTCATCCTGAGTGGCTTCTGGACGGCCTCGGGGCCCGGCGAGGGCCTCCAGAGGCCGAAAACGAGGCACAACCTCCGTCTTGATTTTGCACGACGCCATCATGTCTGGGGTGGCGGCCGCCCTCGCCCTCGCTGCGCCTACGCCGACGGCGCCGGCCCGGCGGCCCGGGCGGCCTCCGCCGGCGGCGCCCGCGGCGCAGCGGCTGCGGCGCCGACAGCGGCTGTGGCTGCGGCGCCCAGCGCGGCGGCGTCCAGCACGGCCGGCGGGCTGGGATGCACAGGGGCGCAGGGGTCCAGCGCGAACTGCTCGATGACCTCGCGATGGAGGCGAAAGGAGGAGGGGAAGAATCGGAGGAGGAGCGGGAGGAGGAGGATGAGGAGGAGGACCAGAGTAAACCCCAGAGTCATCAAAGATGTTGGAATCAATCCTCCCTCAACTTTCCCTGTTCATAGGCCCCTACAGCGGTTCATTTTCATTGAGGGAATTGCCTCTTTGTAAAACAACCGTTTAAAGATCCCGAAGAATGCCTAAACTTTGTTTTCTGGATTTCAACGCCACGGATCAACCTGACTGTTGCGTCTTGACGATCCGGAATCGTACCAGAACGCCATTTGTGGAACTTCAACGCCGCGAACCAAGATAAATGTTGCACCCGCATAGTCCTGAATCCATCATTTCTGGTACGTTGATCATGGGAATCCGTGAACACCTGCCAAAGTTTATGAACGAATGTGCGCGGCGCTTTGGCGAGAACGACATTCTGAAAAGGAGCCGCCCTCAATCCGTGAAAGTCTTCCAATTGTTTTAAGCGACTGTGCGCGGCGCTAAAGCGAGAACCACATTTAGAAAACGACCCGCCCTCAATCCGTGAAACTTTTACAAACGTTAAACAAAAAACGAATGTGCGCGGCGCTCAAGCAAGATCCACATGTTGAAAACGGCACGCCCTCAATCCGTGAAGGTCTTGCAACTATGCGAAACGAATATGTGCGCGTCGCTCAGGCGAAGGCCACATTTTGAAAACAACCCGCCTTCAATCCGTGAAGCTCTGGCAAATTTCTAACAAGAGTATGCGCGGCGCTCAGGCGAGAGCCTCAGTTTGAAAACCACCAACCCACCATCTGTGAAACTGCTGTGAACCGTAACTGGCGATGAAGTCTCAGGCGAAACGCCCGGCCCACCCTAAAAACTGATATATCATTCATAGGGAAAAAGAATGGAGGAGGAGGAGAAGGAAAGAGGAGGAGGATGCCAATGGTGGTGATGGTGATGGTGATACTGCTGCTGCGGCTGATGATGACGCTGAGGATAAGTATGATGATGATGCTAATGCGGATGATTTGGATGATGATAACAGTGGCGTTGGTGATGGTGATAACGATGGTAATGCTGCTGAAGCAGAACGACGGTAATGATGGTAGTAATGAAGATGGTGAAGGCGATACTGATGATGATGATACTGATGCTGGCGTTGATGATGATGGTGATGGATGGTGATGATGGTGGTGGTGATGATGATGGTGAGGGTAATGATGATACTGATGGAATATGATGGTGATGATGATGATGCTGATGCTGATAATGATGTTGATGACGATGATGATGATGATGGTGCTGCTGGCGATGATGTTGTCGATTATGATCGTGGGAATCATGAGAGTGGTGGTGATGATGCTAGTGACGACGATGATGAAAATCATGATGGTGACGATGGTGATGGAGTTGTTGATGCTGGTGGTGAACGATTGTGATGATGGTGGTGATGTGATGGTGATGACGATGGTGATACTGACGATGACGCGGATGATGATCATGGTGACGATGGTGTTGATGACGATGATGATAACGGTGATTGATGATGATGGTTCTAAGTGTGACGATGATGTTGGTGTTGAAGGTGATGGCAATAACATAGCGTATGGTGATATATGATGGTGATGATGATGATAATTATGATGGTGGTGATGTTGGTGTTGGTGACAATGATGATGACGATGCTGATGGTGGTGATGAGGATGATCATGGCGATGGTGGCGGTGATGATGATGATGATGATGATGATGATGATGATGATGATGATGATGCTGATGATGATGATGCAAAGGTTTGCAATGGAGCGATCAGGTAGCCTCCCCGAAAGAAGTGGCGACAGGGGCGCCCGAGGGCCGCGCCTGAACCTCCTGGTTCGACGCGGCCCCGCCGCGGCAATTCATAATCTACGGAACTGCGAATGAGAAGTCGGGGGGGGTGGGGTACCGCGCACAACCATCTACACCGACCCCTCGCGGCAGCGAAGCAGCGGCGGCCGACGGGCAACGATGCCTGCTCGGACCGCCGCCCAACGCGGGCGCGGCAGCGCGGCGGGGGCCGCTCCAACGAGGCCCCCCCCGCGACGCCAGCTACTCCGGAACGTCGCCGACGAACGCCCCGAAGAGAACAACGCGAGCCTGGCCGAGGAGCGCGGCCTGGCGCCACCCGAGAGGCCCCCGCGCGGGGCTCGCGCCCGCCGAAGGGTCGCGCTGGGCGCCCAGCCACGAAGCGGGAAGCAACGCAAGGCAGGATCACGGAGCGCGGGGCCGATCGCAGACTGCGAGAGCAAAGCAGGCTGTCCTGGCCACGGGGGCGGCGGGGCACGTGAAACGGCATCGCGAGAGTGGGGTCCGTTTGAACGCCGACGGCGGCCTTGTTCGAAGGCGGACTGGACCCTCCCCTCCGGGCCCTCTTCTCCGAGGCGCCCTCGCGACGGTGCAGCGCCTCGCGCGAGTGAGCGCTGCTGCTTGGCGGCCGCCGTCGCGACCCCGAGCGCCCCCTCCTGTCGGCGCAGAGCTCGCTGCCCTCGCAAGGCGACGCGGCGGCGCCCTCAAGCCTAAAATCTCGGTCGCGTTTTGCTCCTGACTTCCTCTAACAGACAACGTTCGAGGCCCCCATCTGGGCAGGGGGCTAGCAGGGCCCCCGAGCGGCCCAAGACGGCCCCGCGATGGCCTCAAGAGGCCCTCCGAGCGCTCACGAAGGCCCCAAGAGAGCCCCAAGACTGCCACTCAGGAGCCGAAGATTGCCCCTCAGGAGCCCCAGAATGCAACAGAAACAACTCTCGCAGGCCTGGTGCAAAAACGGGAAAACTACTACGGCCCCCCAAAATCACCCTGGCTTTAACGGGGGCCTCATTTTTTCCTGCCTGGCACCAGCAGAATCCAGCGTCGACCTCGACTGCGTTTAGATAGGTGCCGCGTTGGTCTAGATAGGTTTAGGGCGCAGCCAGACAGGTTTAGATGGGTTTGGGGTGTTCCTGGGCACGGCTAGATAGGTTTAGGGTGGTCCAGGGTGCGGTTTAGACAAGGTCGGGGCGGAACTAGGTAGGTTGAGGTGGTCCGGGGTGCGGTTCAGACAGGTCCAGGGCAGTCCAGGGTGTGATCTAGGTATAGGGTGGTCTGGGGTCACTCTAGATAGGTTAAGAATGGTCTGGTGTGCAACTAGATAGGTTCAGGGCGGTCCAGGGCGCGGTTTAAATAAGCTTTCACGCGGGATGCGGTTGGTCTAGGGTGGTCCAGGGTGCGATTTAGATAAGTCTACGGCGGTCCAGGGTGTGATTAAGAATGGTTTGTGGTGGTCTGGGGTGCACGTTCGATCGATGCGGGGTGGTGCGGGGCACGTCTGGATGGGTTTGGGGCGATCCCTGGCGCGATTAAGATGGGTTTGGGGCGGGTCTAGGTCGGTTTGAGATGGCCTGGATCGGTTTAGATCGGTTTAGGGTGGGTGGATAAAGGTTTGAGGCGGGTTTAGCTCGGTTTGGGACCGGTTTACATTCGTGTTGGGTTGTTTCAGATTAGTTTCGGGCGGGTTTAGATATATTGGTTTGGGGCTGGTTAAGGGAAATTGCGGGGCTGATTAAAGAAAAGGTTTCCTTTTGGTGCGGGTAAGACTGGTGGGTGCAAATTTGGCTGGTTGGGATAAAATCTCGGCAGGCCTGCGCGCATGTACTTCCGAGACTTTGAGGGCCCTGCGGGGTGTGAGTCGGAAAGCCATGAGAAATACAACTGGTATTCGGGTTGACAAGGCGTGCGTCTTTAGACGATGCCGCGCGATTGCGGTAGCCATGGCTGCCAGGAGGGTCAGAGGGGATATGAAGATCAGTAAGGTTAAGAGTGATATAAGCCGTGTGGGCCAGGAAGAATCACAAGGTGCGTGGTGTTATGGGCGGTGCATGTGTGGGAGTCCTGAGGGTTATGCCCAACGCCATAGTTAAAGCATGGCATGAGAACGGGAGGGGCATGGAGGCCGTGAAGACGGTTGCGAACGTCTCGCGTTATGCGGATTAGGCGGGCATGGCCATAGGGGTCATCGGGGGTGCGACATGTGGAATGCGGAGGTCACGACGACGCTGATTTGATGGCGGCCACGGAGGCGGTACAGGTGAGACGGGACAGTCCACGTGCAAGCGGGTCCAATTCTTCCTTCAACGACCCCTGGCCTCGACTGGAATTTACAAGGAACCCGCCCGCCAGAAAAGCGCGACCTCCTTGTTGACAACACGGAAATCACCCGTGTCGCGTAGTTCGGCGCGATCTCAAGGCCCAGGCTGCAAAACCAACGCGGGGGCGAAACATGCAAACAACACACGATCAACGACACAGCATTTGGAAACAATTTGCGCACATCACGCACAACACCACCCCGCGCCAACCCCGCGCCAACACCTCGCTAACTCTGGTTGGGCCCGTTACGCACTGTTCCAAGCCTTTACACATGATCACGGTGAGAATGATGATACGGAGTAGATCAGAACCCATCGGGTGCCAGCTGAAGTTCCCATCCAGCGAAGGCCCCCTAACATCGGGCTGCGCCCCAGCGTCAGTTTGCGATGTGTGGCCAGGCGCCGTCGCGACGCACCACAACACGAAGCTTTGTCGCTGCCGAGGTGCGCGCAAGACGCAGAGCGGCACTTCTGCCGGCACCAGTCCACTGTGCAGAAAACTCTGAGAAGACCGAGGGGCGTCACCCTCAGCGTGCCCACGGCCTCTCTTGATCACTGCTGGAATGGTGGGCTCCGCGGGGCCATGTGTCTGCTTGGTGCCCGCCGAAGCTTCAGAAATCCTCACACGCTTGACGTCCGCATTGTCTGGACTCGTCATCCTATGAACGCGGGGCGCCCCACCCTCCACCTAGCCCCTCGAAGCATCCTGTCTGAGCACCTCATATTGCCTTCTGGGAGAAGAAGACGGGAGAGGAGGCTCGAGGCAAGGGGAAGAATAAGGGGCAAGAGCGAAGGGCGCGCCGTCCCCAAGCCCACCGCTCCTGCTCTCAGCTGGGCCATCCTTCACATTCACTCGGGTTCGGGGCGCTCCTCCCGCCACATGGCCCTTCGGAGCGCGCAGAAGTGGCGGCTCTGGTTGCCTCGGGGGGGGGAGGCGGAGAGAGACGGGCCCCGAAGAGAGGAGGCGAAACAAGGGAGGCGACGGTCGGCATGTCAGTTGCTTGTCGGCGGTTCCTGCGGCTCGCAGTGACCGCGCTCCCGTTGCGCGAAACTCGGGGCCCTCCCTCCACCACCTGGCCCCTCGGGTCGGAACGACTTTTCTCCTCCATTATTGGGGGGGCGGTGAGTGGCGCAACCGTGGATGGACCGAGAGAGAGGACGGCGCCTGGCCCATTTGCACGGCTCTGCTCTGGAAGGGGGACAAGGGCTCAGGGGAAGGAGGCTCGAGAGGGGTAGAGGGAGGGGTATCGAGGATCGGCTTGCTCGGCGCATGGCCCAGGCTCTGCGCGAGTCGCTCAGTCATGTCCTTTCTCACGCCTGGGGGGGCCCGACCAATCTTGGATGAAACTCTCGAGATCGTGCGAGCCCATGTGGACCAGTCGCTCAACGTGGGCAATCGGGGCCGTCCCTTGTTTGCAGTCTGCCCCGACATGGATGAAAGCCGCCAGGACAGGCGCCATGTTGAGACGCGATCTGAAGGACACCCCGAGCTTCACCTTGCCGCCCTCGAGACAATCCAAAGTCTTAGCCAGAGGCACGACCTGTCCCATCTCGTAAACCGCGAGGATGTTATGATGCTTGCTTCACGTTTCGAGCTACCGTTGGTTTGCTCGCCCCACCTCGCTGCCCTCCGCAGTCAGACCCTCGAAGACGCCCGCGCAGCACGCCACCGAGATGGTACCCATATCCTTGAGAGTCTGCTCTGCCTCGGCCTTGGGTACAACCGACCTGTGCGCCCCGGCAGCGCGGACACACGCTTTGGCACGAGCCCTCGCCTTCACCACCGCCTGCATGCCTGACGACATCAGGAAAGTCTTCAACCCGATTGACTCGATCTGCCCTTGCCTCAGCGCTATGTCGAGGATGAGCTGCATCAGGAATCGGAAGTACTTTTGCATGGTCTGGACCTCCATCAAATCGCCGTCTGGCTCGGTCGTGTCCATTATCGTGGGGTCCTGTTTCTTCGGCCCGTCTTTTGCTGGACTGCCCGATGAAGCTGTTCCTCCTTTGGTGCCCCGCGCGGCCTTCTTGAGTGAAGGCTCGTCACCTGCCTGCGCTATCGCTGGGAGCGCCTGCAGCCACGACATGCGGCCGAGGTAACGGTAGACGAGACTCGGCAATGTGCTGTTGTTCAGAAGGACGGTCCGCGAACTCCACTGGGCACCCTGTCTCTACACAAGTTGCGGATGCACAGCGGGCAAGCTGAACGTGACGATAATGATGATGGTGATGATGCTGATGATGATGATGATGAAGAGGAGGACGAGGACGAGAAGGACCAATGTAAACCCAAGAGCACTTGGAATGAACCGTCCCTCCCAGGTCCCTCTTGTGAGGCCCCTACAGCGGTTCATTTCCATTGAGGAAACTGCCACGTTGGAAGACCCCCGCTTGAAGACCTTGAAGCATGCCAAAACATTGTTCTCGGGATTCCAACGCCAGAGATCAACCTGACTGTTGCGTCTTGACGATCCTGAATCGCGGCAGAACGTCACCCCTGGGACTTTAACACAGCGAACCAACCTACATGTTGCACCCGCATAACCCTGAATCCTTTCAAAACACATGTTCTGCGTGTTGCTGATGGGAACGCGTGAAACTCTTGCACATGTTGTAAACGAATGTGCGCGGCGCAAAGGCGATATTCACAATTTGAAAAAGAACTGGCTTCAACCCGTGGAAACGTTAAAACGTAGGTAAACGAATGTGCGCGGCGCTAAAGCGAGAGCCACAGTTTGAAAAGAATCCGTTTTCAATCCGCGAAGCTCTTGCAAATAGATGAAAATAATGTGCACAGCGCTAAAACTACAGCCACATGTTGACAACGACCCGCCCTGGATCCGCGAAACTCTTGCACATGTTTAAAACGAAAGTGCGACGCGCTGAAGCGAGAGCCACATTTTGAAAAAAACGGCATGCCTTCAATCCGTGAAGCTCTTGCACTTGTTCTCCCCGAATGTGCACACCGCTGAGGCGAGAGTCACCCGTTGAAAACGATCTGCCTGCAATATGGGAACTGGAAATTCTTGGAACTTTTTCAGACATGATTGTGCGCCGCGGTACAACAAAAACCACATGTTGAAAACCACCCGCCCTAAATCCGTGAAGCTCCTGTTAATTTGTTAAAACGGGCGCGCGCCGCGCTGAGGCGAGAGCAACATTTTGAAAATTCCCGCCCTCCATCTGTGAAGGTGTCGCCAGTTCTTCAGATTCAGAATCATAGCTGATGAAGAAGTCTGAGGCGACCCACCCGGCCCGCCCTAAAAAATGGCCTCGGGGTGCGGCAGGGGAAAATCATATATCAGGAAAAGGGATGGAGGAGGAGGAGGAGGAGGAAGAGGAGGAGGAGGAGGAGGAGGAGGAGGACGCGCCTGTCAGAGAATGAATGTTTCGGTTGTAACAATAACTGCGACAACAAGTTTCTCCTGATCTGCTTTTGCAGCCCATGCTGCGCAAGGGCTTGCCTGCCAGTTCCCAGAGAAAATTTAGGGTCACTCGTGCCCGTCGGATTTAAACGGAAGGTCCAGGCAGACTGGTCCTAGGAGAGGAGCAGGAAGAGGAGGACAATGACCACAACGACGACGACGACGACGAAGACGAGGAAGACGACGACGACGACAACGCTGGCGACCTCGGTGAGCACCACGGCGAACCGCTGTGCCCACGCGGGCGGGTACCTCTCCCACTGCAGCTTGAGCACCAGGGTCCACGCGGGGGGGTCTCCCCCGTGGCGCAGCCCAGTCTGCCAGCCCTGCACCTCCAGGGGCCTCTCCTACATCGGGGGAGCGCCAGTCGAGCGGGGAAAGCGAAAGGGTACGCACACGAGAGAACACATAATTCTAGTGACCTCACGCGGCGGCGTACCCAGGCCGCTAGCGCGGCGCGCTGCACCCCGGCGGATAAATCCCGGCCGCGGAGGGGCGAGGAGGAGAAGGATAGGGACTACGTAACATTCCGGGGGAAGGCGGAAACATCACGTGCTGAGGAAGCAGGTCACGGTGTGGACAGCTGCTTCCCGACGCGGGCGTCACAGCATCACGTGGCCACCGCGGCCACGCCCACCAAGCCTCGCCAATCATGACGACCCTGAGTTCCAACGGCGCGAAACACCTGAAGCACCGTTAAAAAATCCGGACCGGAACCCCGAACCCCATCTTTCTGCGCCGTTTTCCGAGCCGGATCGATCCGTGATGGTTCCAAGGCCCGAAATTGGGCGACAACGCCAGGCTGGACAAAAACCGAGACGCCAGGATCTCAGGGTACGCGGGGCACACTGCACTGGAGGCGAGGGCGCTTACGCGCGACCGTACGCGGGCAGCTTACACGCGAGTGTCTGCGCAATCTATCCTGTCTCTGTTGCGTCGCCTGGCTGAAAACATTTTCCCCTCCCTGCCTGGCCCAGCTCCTGGGCGTCGCGCTCAGTGAGGGGCGAGAGGGGGGGGGGCGATCAATAGGAGGGCGGAGGGGCGATCAATAGAGGGGGGCGATTAATGCGGTGCGGAGAGCATGGTGCACTCTTCGGGCCTGAAAGGCCCCCCGAAAGGCCTCCACTTGGGCCCCAAAGGGCCCCCTTCGGGGCCCACGAGGCCACCTTTCCCTCAGACCTCGCTGCCCCCACCCCCAGTTGCCGCCCCCCCCATTATACGCGACGCCCAAGGCCCCGCCCAGGAGCCACCGCCGGGGCCCCTCCTCTGGGGCCCCAGCCCGACCCGCACCTCGAGGCGGACCAAGCCGTGGCGACGGGAGACCTCCCGGGAGGCCCAAGGAGGACGGGAACCAGGCCCTCCTCCGACTCCCTTCGGGTCTCGACCGGCCCCCCTCCGACTCCCTTCGGGCGAGACCTCGAGCCTCTCGGGGGCGCGCGGGAATGGACTAGCGATCCACGGATTTGGCGCGCGGTCGCCAAACCCATGGATCGGGGGAGGTGCCCTCCTCAAAATGCGGCCCGTGCCGCCTCGCTCGGCGGCGGAAATCCGCGATGTCCGATGGAAACGGGACGACCCGTCGCAAATCCACGCCTCCTTGATCCGTCTTTGCGATCGCCTGAGCCTCGGGTGGCCGTTCGGGACGAGCCTGTCATCCCCCGATCGCCCGAGACGGGCTGCCAACGATGTGAATCATCACGCGTTCCCAGAAGCTTCCGAAAACATGAGCAAACCTACAGACCCAGACATGCGATGTCTCGTTTTTTTCCATACGCGGTCCCCCGAAGTCTCGACCCTTTCCACAAGGCCGGTTTTTCATCGTGAGTCGTTTTTGGGCGGCCCCAGGGACCAATACGGGCCCCGAGAGGCTGAAAACTAAGGAAACAAACCGCCCTGAATGTTTCCACACGCTGGAGGTCTGGGGGAAATCTGCCGAGGGCCGCCGTTGTCTCGACCAGGCCCCCGTCCAAAGAAAAAGGGACCATGACCAAGACTGAACGCGGCAACGTCGTGTCGCGCCTGGTTACCATCCATCTTGGTCAGCGTCAGTGTGTGGATCATCCTCGCGAATCGGTGACGGCCGGCATGGACCGTGAGCAAGATCGGCGTCGACAAGATCTCGCGACATCTCGGTCACTGCCATCGTGTTTCTTCTCTCGAACAGGCCAGACCATCGCCCGTTATCTTCGACGCCTCCGACGGCCGTTCGGGAAGATCTGGGCCCCCCGGGAACGACCTCGGCGATGCGCATGGGGAGCACCCCGAGGCTGGAAAAACACCCAGGAGCGACGAAAGCGCCCGAAAGCATCGACCCTCGAACCTAGTGGCCAGACAGGATCCCCAGACATCTTAGCCATGGGCAGTGCGATTCGTTAATCGGCGTCCGATGGGACGCAGAAAGGCGTCCTATCACGAGGCGCACCCCTCCAGGCGCACGTCTGAAACCAACATGCAAATACAACAATCGTCCTTATCTGGCGTTATCTGGGCGGTGTGGCCAGCAAGCGCCCGCCAACGAGCACAGACTATATGAGACTGCTGAGCGCGCGCGTCGCCTCTGGGGGGGGGCCGACGCACACACACACACACAGCACGCGTGAATTCGGGGGATGCCGGCCCGATCTCCTCCCTGCTCGACGCCTTGGCGCTCCAGCCCGAGGGCGGGCGCATGCACCCGAGGTCGACCCGGTTCACCCAGCCGAGGTGTTCGGTGGGCTCGGCGCCGACCAGGTTCACCAGGATCCTGCTCGGGCGGCGCCCACGGCCCAGGCCGGTCGCAGCAGAAAGGAGAGCCTGCCTGTGCCCATGTTGGGCATGAGCTGATCACTCTCCGTCGATGCACAGTCGGACCTGGGCCAGGAGAACATCCTTCAAGGACACGGGACCCTCCGCCGGCCAAAGCACACAGAACGTCCAAGGGATCCATCCGCAGGATGCACAAGAACATCCAATATACACGAGGAACACTAGGGTACCCGCCCCGAACCGACCTCGATACCTCGGTCCGACTGTACGGTTGAGCATCAGCAGAGCGGGGGCGGGCTGGGAAGGGGCATGCCCCTCCCGGACAAAAGCCTTGCCCTGATGTGTGGCCGGCGCGGTCGCTGCGGCGACCTCCAAAACAGATCTGGAGGTTCGGTTCGGGGTCGGATGTCACGCAACGGCTTCTGGCGGCGCGCACGGTCCAGATCTCCAACGATGATGCCCCAAACTTGTGCGCGCCGTGAGAAAATATCCTGGCGAAGGGCCCAACCATTTGAAGCTGCGGGTGCCGCGCGGCAACTGAGCGACGATCAAAAACGGGTCTTACGCAAGATGACGTTGCGACCTTACGCGATGGCTTACGCGGGCCGCCAGCGCAATGGAACGAGGTCGCTTATGCGCGACCTTACGCGATCAGCTTACGCGCCAATGTCGGCGAAGACGATCCCGTTTCCATCCGTCGCTCAAGTGAGAGGGAGCAGGAGGGACGAGTGAGGGGTGCGCCAACATGGGGCGGTTGCGCCATGCAGACCCTGCCACTCGGGCTTTGGATGGAACTCCCTAAAGGGCCACGGCACGTGTGAGGGTGAGCTGAATAGTATGCGGGCTCCCTTCCAGGCCACGGCGCGTGTGAGGGGTATGCCGAAGCGGATGCGGGCGCGCCAGGCGGACACTGCCACTGGGGCCTTCGGTGGAGCTCCCTCCGCGCCACGAAGCGTGTGAGGGATGTGCCGAATCGGGTGCGGGAACGCCATGCAGACCCTGGCCTGTCGCTGGGGCCTTCGTTGGAGCTCCCTTCGGGGCCACGGAACGTGTGAAGGGAGTGCCAGATCGGGTGCGGGTACGCCGTGCTGACCCCGCCGCTGGGGCTTTCGGTGGAGCTCATTTCGGGGCCACGAAATGTGTGAGGGGTGTGCCGAATCGGGTGCGGGTACGCCGTGCGGACCCTGCTGCTGGGGCCTTCGGTGGAGCTCGCTGTGGACCGCGAAACGTATGAGGGGTGTGCTGAATCGGTTGCGGGCATGCCGTGTGGACCCTGCCGCTGGAGCCTTATGTGGAGCTCCGTTCGAGGTCACCGAACGTGTGAAGGGTTTGCTGAACCGGATGCGGGTACGCCATGCGGACCCCGCTACTGGGGCCTTCGGTGGGGGAGGAGTGAGGGGTGCGCCAACATGAGGCGGCCGCGCCATGCGGACCCTGCCACTCGGGCTTTGGATGGAGCTCCCTATGGGGCCACGGCACGTGTGAAGGATGTGCCGAATCGGGTGCGGGTACGCCATGCGGACCCTGCCGCTGGCGCTTTTAATTGAGTTCGCTCCCGATGGGGGCACAAAGCGTGTGACGAGTGTGCCAGATCGGGTGCATTTACGCCATGCGGACCCTGCCGCTGGTGCGTTCGGTGGAGCTCCTTACGGGCCCACGAAAACGTGTGAGGGTTGTACAGAATCAGATGTGGGCACGCCATGCGGACTCTGCCGCTGGGGCCGTCGGTGGAGCACCCTTCGGGGCCACGAAACGTGTGAGGGGTGCCGAATTGGATGTGGGTACGCCAGGCGGAACCTGCCGCTGGCGCTTTTGGTGGAGTTCGCTACCGATGGGGCCACGACACGTGAGGGTGTACCAAATCGGGCGTGTTTACGCCATGCGGACCCTACCGCTGGGGCCTTCGGTGGAGCTCCCTATAGGGCCACGAAACGTCTGAGGGGTGTGCCGAATCGAATGCGGGTGTGCCATGTGGACCCTGCCGCTGGGGCCTGTAGTGGAGCTCGAGCCACGAAGCTTGTGAGGGGATTGCTGAACCAAGTGCGGGCACGCCACGTGGACCCTGCCGCTGGGGCCTTCGGTGGAGCTCCCTATGGGACCACGGCACGTGTGAGGGGTGAGCCGAAACCGGTGCGGGTACGGCATGCTGACCCTGCCGCTGGGGCCTTCGGTGAAGCTCCATTCAGGGCCACGAAACGTGTGAAGGGTATGCCGAATCGGGTGCGGGTACGCATAATGGTGAAGAGATGAGGGCATATGCAGGGCAGAAGCAGGATTTGGGAGGAGGGAGGAGGGCGAAGAAGGGAACGGAGGGAATGCGGGGCGCTGTCTCTTCAAAGCGAGGGCCCAAAACACCACAGGATGGTTGGGAACAAGACGGAGATGTTTCTCCATGTTCGGCTTCTGCATGGAGGCCCTCGCCGGGCCCCGAGGCTGTCAGAAGACGGCTCGGGACGGAAAAACTGCTTTGGGGAAGTGGTCCTGAGCTCCCGAGACCCCGCATTGTGGCAAAATCTAGACATCGGAGGTCGCGGAATGTTTGAATCCCAATGGTTGTTCCTTGCTGACGGTGCTACAGAGGCCGAGAACAACACAACACCGTCCGTCGTGGTGTTTGTCAACGACGCGAGGGGGTCTGTGGTTGCGCACGCCGCCCCATCCTGTGGGAGGTCTCCGACACGGTGCCACGGGACCAGCTGCGGCTCCGCAGCGCCTCCGTCGCCTGCAGCGCCACGGACAGCAGGGACTGCAGCGCGTGCGTCTGCACGTCCACGTTGCGCCAGTCCGTGAAGAACCCGACCAGGGATCCCTCGTCGGGCCCGTCTCGCATCGGCACGGTGAGGGTGAGGCGGACCTGAGAGAAAAAACTAGTCATACCGCCACTGCAGGGACCTCTCCAGAAGGCTGTTGGCAATGTTTATCCTTCGCGGGCCCTCGCCGGGCCCTCGCCGGGCCCCGGACAACAGAAAAAAGACTCAGGATGAAAAGCCAGTCCCGGGGAATGGGTCGAGACGTCTGGGGGTCCTCGTTGTGAAAATGAAAAATCAAGACATCGGATGTCTGCGCTTGCACCGCCACTCCAAGGACCTCTCCTGGGGCGAGTTGGGAGCCAGGATCCCTAGGCGAGTCCAGCCGTGGCGACGATGGAGAGGTGACGGTATCGATATGTGTTCCTCCTCCTCCGATGACCACAGGCATCTGATCGCAACGCGCCAGGGCGCACACGATGGAGACGATGAAGAGCACGTCCTAGAAGAAGGACCAGCTGCGTGAGCGGAGGTCCGCGCAGCACTCGCCATCGCTCGGACGTCCATCCCCCATACCTTTGTCCGACTTCGTGCGCTTATGCTTTCGTGGGATGATCGAACGTGGTCTTCGATCGCCCTCGCCGAAACAATGCACGCGTCCGAGCGATGCCGAGGGATCCCTTGGATCTGCGATGATAACCCCTGGTGGCGGCAGCGCCGGCGCCACGCTCCGAACGGCGCTCTCCGCGCGCCAAGGACGGGTGGGTGTCCCGCGCAGATCCAAGATGTCCGCGCGGACCTTCGAACAGTTATGCCTCTGCACTGCCTGCCAAACTATTCTACGTCAAAAGATGCCGATACCGCTGCACCCCAGACCTCACCTGGGGTGCGTTCTGACCAGCATCTCGGAGCGAATCCAGCGGTGGCGACGAGGGCTTCCCATGAGGTACAAAAAGGCAGCAATGGGGCAGGGGCAGCAGCATCGACACCTTCTCGGACATCCAACGGTATGATTTTTTTATTCCGCGGCCCCAGAAATCCTGACCGCTTCCCTATTATAGTGGCAGCTCTTGGTTCCGGATCCATGTTTGATGGAATTTAGGGACAAAGCAAAATTCGCCGGCCCAACGGGCCAGAGGCGTGCTAAGATCTCCGGTAACTGGTTAGCCCATGGGGGTCCCCCGGCGAAAAGTACCCCGACCGCCGCCCGACCGCAGCCCGGCAACTGCTACTCAGAGATGGTTTTCCTCCTGGGTGTGGCTTCTCAGGCCCCCCAGAGCGCGCCAAGAGTGCCCCAAGAGGCCCCCAAGACTGCCCAAGAGGCCCCCGAGACGCCCAAAGAGCGCTCCAAGACGCCGATGATGACCCCAAGACGGCCCAAGAGGCCTCCAAGTGCCCTCCAAGAGGCCTCACAAGAGGGCCCCGAGAGGCCAAAATCATTAATTTTACTATGGTTTTGGAAGGTTTTTGGCCTTGTCGCCGTTTCGGCCATCCGATGCTCCAAGACGGCCCAAGAGGCCCCCAAGAGCGTTCGAAGACGGGCCAAGAGGCTTCCAAGAGGGCCCTGAGAGGGCCCAAGAGGGCCCCGAGACGGCCCAAGAGGCGCACAAGACGGCCCAAGACGGCCCCAAGAGGCGCCCAAGAGGGGGACCACGAACAGAAAACTCGAGCCGTCCACCCCAAAGGGGCCCCAGGAGGCCCCGAGAGGCCCCCAAGAGTCCCCAAGATGCCGCCAAGAGGCCCCCAAGAGGCCCCAGGAGGAGGCCCCCAGGAGGCCCAAAAGAGGCCCCAAGAGGCGCCAGAAAGCTTCAAAAATACCTCCCAGGCGCCCCCGAACGGCTTCCCAAAAGACCCCAAGAGGCCTCCCAAAGAAGCATCTTGACGACGACCCTGTTTGGCCCCAAGAGCAACACAGGATGCCAACGAGAGGCTTCCTCCTCCGCCCCTTCCTCTTCCTCCTCCTCCCTCTGCTCCTCTTCCTCCTCCTCCTACTTATCTTCATCCTCCGCCTCTCCTTCTCCTCCTCTCCTCCTCCTCCCCTTCACTTCCCCATCCTCATCTTCCTCCTCCTCGGCGGCGCCACAATGGCCCCGGGCCCACGGCGAAACAGTAGCGATCATGCAATATGGGCCGGCGGAATGAGTGAAGCGATTGAATAAACAACGATCACGACGAAGGATTCATCTATACCTATACCCGTCTCGCCTTGGCAAAAGCTTGCAATAAATCTACTAAGCGCCTCCAGCCGTGAAAATGCAATGCCGTCACCGCGCCCATCATCAACCCGCTACTGCGGGCTGCAGTGGCGCCTCCAAGAAATCACGGATGTGAGCGATGTCGGAAACTTGCCAAGAGTCAAGAGATATTCGGTACGGGCCTTGTTGGGTATAGACGCTTTGCGAAACATTCACACAAACACCCATACCTATACCTGTTTTCTCTGGGTTTCCACGACAGGGTGGGACACCTGCTGCGACCACCTACGTCCAAGAAAGGAAACGACAATCAGCTCAAAAGGCTTGCGATGCGCACTCTTTCACAACGCTGTCGCCCACGCGATACGCGGCTTCCTCTGACGCAAGTTTCAAGAGAAAACGGGTATAGGTATAGATGTAAGGCTCGTGAGATCATCTGAGATCTGAGTTTTCCTCCTCTGATTCGGCGGCGATCGAGGGGGGGAAGTGAGAAGGAGAAGGCCTTCTCAGAAGGCGGCGGGGCTTCTCAGAAGCCCTCCAACCTTCTGAGAGGTTTTCTGTGTCCTCGGGGAAGGCTTGGAACACTTCTCAAAAGGCCAGAGAACTTCCGAGCCTTCTCACTTCCCCCCTGGCTTCTAGGAGGGCCAAGAACATTAGGGGTAGAGGGTCTCTTCTACTGATGTATCAGACCAGACCGCTCAGATCAGTTATCCCTAATGATGCGAGGGCGGGGACCTATGTGAGGCCACGTCTTCATCGTGCTGCTGCGATTAGGGGTTCTTGCATTCGCGATCATCTGATGTCCAGAGGCACGTTCAGCGCCTCGCTGGCCCGCTGCAGCGCCGAGCCCGCTCCCTGGCCGACCTTCAGCAGCCGCCGGTGTCCCCAGGGGGCCGGGCCGCCCGCAGCGCTCGAGGCCCAGCCGGCTACGTAGCTGGCCTCCTCGGACACGGCCCCGCCCGGCTTGGCCGGGAAGGCGGCCAGGAAGCGCCTCGCCCGAGCGGCGCACCCAGGCATGCTCGCGTCGTGAAGAGGTAACGACGGAATGTTTGGCCGTTTCGGCCTCTGGGGGCCCTCGCCGGGACGGGCCGTCAGAAAACGGCCAGGGATGAAAAACTGGCCCTGGGGAGCAGGGTCGGGATTTCTGGGGACCCCGCATCCAACAAATCAAGACACTGGACGTCTGGGAATAGATCCAAACCAAACCCACGCCGTCGCGGTCTGGAGTCCAGGGGCGCGATCCCCCGAACACGCGGTCGCATGGAATACGTTCCGCGCGGGGCACCCGCGAACAAAACGCCACATATCCATGTGGGGTCGCGGCCCAGGGGCCCAGCCCGCGAGGCCGTGGATATGGACATACAAACGTCCGACAATACTATGTGTTCAACTGCGCGGCCCCAGATGTCCCGACCCCTTCGCCAGGGCCAGGTGTCTGCCTGGATCAACTTTTTTGTCGCCCTGAGGCCCGAAACGGACCGCAGATGCCAGAATCCATGAAAACCTCCAGATGGAAAAGACGCTAGCCAGCGTGGACCCCAAGCAGCAGGTTACTGCACTGTGGACGTGTAAGCCACGTAATGCAAGCTATGTCGTACAAGCTATGTGGTGTAAGCTATGTCGTGTAAGCTATGTGGTGCGGTTTCGGTATACGTGGTGCACGCCAGAGGCGGCAACGAGGCTGCAACGGGCGGCAACGTAGCGAAACCTCGGCGGACACCCCAAGCGCGGTGGGCGGCAACGGGCGGCAGCGCGGCGAAAGCTCGGCGGACCCACCCCGTTCCTCAGCGACAAGAGTAAGAACCCCCAGAAGTGCAAGCACTGTCTGGGGCATCAAATCTGGTGAGCCATTCAGGTTGCGAACAGACACCGCCCCAGGGAGTCTCAGCTGGGCCCCCCCGAGCAGTCCCGGCTGGCCTCAACAAGCCCCCCCGATTAGTCTGGACCGGTCTCAGCACCTCAACCCTGGAGCGCGGAGCGCCTCAGGGGCGCCGCCTGAGGCGGCGCCAGGGTGTTGAGACAGCCACGGGCTACTCGGGTGGCCTGCTGAGGCCAGCTGGGACTGTTCGGGGGGCCTGTTGAGGCCAGCGGGGACTGCCTGGAGGGGGTGTGTGCACGCAACTCGAAGCCTTACCATGCGATGTCCTGGTTGTTTCAATACGGGGCCCCCTGAAGTCCCGACCCTTGCCCCAAGACTCGTTTTCACCCCGAGTCGGTTTTTACCGTTCCAGGGCCCCGCGAGGGCGACCAGAGGCCGAACACGGCCAAAAACCGCCCGCCGTTATTTCGCATCGACGCGAGCATGTCTGGGTCTGGAAGAATCAGATCGTCGGAGGTCTAGGTGAATCACATCGTCGGAAGTCTGGGCGCAGTCGGGCCGCTGCAACAAACAGCAAACAAAAAGGCATGACCCCCCTTTTTTGGCCCCAGAAGCTCCTGCGTAGACGAGGAGCGCTAGTGGGACAGCCATGGAAGGTCCAAGGAAACGTTCGAGCCTCTTTCGAACACAAGCTGTTCCTTACTTCAACGTATTGGCTGTATGCTTCCCGCCGTCGTGTTTCTCTCGCAATGTCGACCCCCAGAAATCTGGACCCCTTCCCTGGGACCCGTTCTTCATCCCGGGCGGTTTTTTGACGGCCCCGAGGCCCAGCAAGGGCTCCCCGAGGCCGAAAACACCGAAAACCTCCCGCCATGATTTTTGTCATGACTCCAGGGGGTCTGTGTTCCCAGACATCCGGCTGCTCCAATGTTTTCGATGCGTGGTCCCCGGAGGTCTGGGACCACGGGGCCGGTTTTCCGCCCCGAGTCGTTTTCTGACAGCCCCGAGTCCTGGCGAGGGCGCCCGGAAGCCGAAATCAGCCCAAAGCCCCCTTCTCCACTTCTTATTGGAGCGTTGAGGAGAGATAAAAGTACCACTGCCACCAGCTATGGGTGCGGTGTGGCCGCTTCCTCCTCTCGAGCTGGTGGCACCTCCCTCCGGAAACTCTATGGAGGCATGCCCAGAACGAGGTGCCACCAGCTCGAGAAGGTGGGAGCGGCCACCCCCCAGCTGGTGGTAGCGGTAGATGTTGGAAGGGACCTCTCAAGCTTTCCTCGGGCCTGCGCAGTGTCCATAAGAGCAAGAACACAGCTGAGCACAGGAGGGCGTGCAGGCAACTACGGAGCTCGGAGATCCAGAAGCAAGGTGCGGACGACGCTGCAAAGCCCTAGGAGAGCAGAGAGCAACGCCCTGTGAAGCGTCGGCTCTCTGGGCTCGGCGTCTTAGCGGTCTGCTTCCCTCCCGCGGGCCTCTCCAGGATGCCCAGCGCGTCGGGCACCGGGCGCAGCTGCTCGCAGGGCCCGCCTGCTTCCTCGCGGTACAGCGCGGCCAGGTCCGCGCGCAGCGGCCCGAAGGACCCGGCGTCGCACAGGGAGTGGGAGATCACGACGAGGACGTGGTCCACGCCTCAGCCCCAGACCCCCTCGACGGCCCCGAGGCCGGGTAAAGGCCCCCAGAGGCCAAAAATAGCGAGAAGCCTTCCGTCGGGACTCGTTTCATGACTCGAGGGGGTGTGGGACAGGAAACTCCTCAGGATGCCGGTGGGCTTCCGAGCCTTCTGAGAAGCAGACAGAACTGATGACCTCTCGTGCTGTCAACTCTGGATGCAGGCCCAGCCGGCAGTAAAACTGTTTGAACGCGTGTTCCACCTGAGCATCGCAAACGCGGGCATCAAGGAAGAAGATGTCCTCGGCGCGCGCCCAAAGGAAAAACAGTCTTAAGTAAACGCCAGACGAAGAGACCAGCTGCGGCGGCACCAGTACCCTACAGGGTCAACGCCAAACAAGAGGTCCTGTTTTTTCTTTTTTGATGGGCAGCGCCCGGGGCAAACATGTACACTGATAGCCCCACAGGCAAGTCGCCGACTGCCATACGGCAACGAACAACGGCCAGACACTTTGCTGCAAGTACGCAGCTCGGGACAAGAGGAGGAGGAGGAGGAGGAGGAGGAGGAGGAGGAGGAGGAGGAGGAGGAGGAGGCAGAAAGGGGACAGAAGGGGAGGGAGAGACGCTCGAGCCAATGTGCTCGATCCCAGTCCATGCCCTTCAGCAGTGGAGGGGGCAAACTGCAAGTGAAACCATGCTTAATGAAACTCCGCGAGCGCGTGCAATGAGGGGAGGGAAGAGGCAGCACGAGAGACAGCGGCGGCAGCGGCGGCAAGAGAGGAGAGGAGGGCAACAGCCAGGGGCGCCAGACGGCCAGCCCTTGGCGAGCGACACGTACAGCACTCGGGGGGGAACGAGGACTAGACAGGCAGAGGAGAGAGAGAGAGAGAGAGAGAGGAGGGACAGAAGGCAAACGCGGGGCCTAGACCCAGGCGGGGACGCACTCTGAACCTGTACGACTCGAAAGCAGACGCACTGCTGGGCAGCGTGGTGCTGCCTGTCGTGAAGCTCACCGTGAGACCAGCCGTCGACGTCGCCGTTCTACTGCTGACGTCGGAGCTGGTGTAGGCGCTGGCGTCGATGCCGGCGTAGGCGCCAGCGTTGGTGCTGGCGTCGGTGCTGACGTCGGCGCTGCCGTAGGCGCAGGCGCTGCTGTTGGCGATAGTGTTGGCGCTGGCACTGGCGGAGGCGTCGACGTTGATGTTGGCGTTGGTGCTGGCGTCGGTGATGGCGTAGATGCTGGCGTTGGAGCCAGTGTCGGCGTAGGTGCTGGCGTCGGTGCTAGCGTCGGCCCTGGTGTTGGCGCTTGCGTTGGTGCCCGCGTCGGTGCTGGCGTAGGCGGTGGTCGTAACGGTCTGGACGCCCACCAGCCCAAGCTGGACACAACAAAGTCGAACCAGGCAGGGACGTAGGTGCAGGCGTTGTTGCTACCGTCGGTGCTGGCGTCGGCGCTGGCGGAAACTGCATGTCGGCGCTGGGGCTTGCGTTGTTGCTTTTCCACTCGGGCGGTCAGAAGAAGCGGGTCTTACGCGAGAGGGTATAGCGGGGCGCAAGCACGGCACACCGAGTGGAGAAGAGGGCGTTCGTGCGCGACCTTATGCGGGCAACTCACGCGCGAATGTCCGCGCAGTCCGCTCCGTTTGCTTCCGTCGCTCGCTTTTGGCTCTTGACTCAGCCAAGACGTGTTGAAACATGCACCCGGGCAGGCAGGCGTCAGGAATACGAGATCGCGACGAGGAATTGGTCTACGCCTGCAAAAAAACAAAAACGGCGCCCAAAACGTACTGTGAAGACTCCAATCTTCAACTCAAGTCTTCGATCAGCGCCCCCAGCGTTGTGAAGAACATCTAGGGTCCACGCGCGGTTCGCGGCACCGCAGCAGGGTGAAGGAGCAGGGGGGCGCGAAGCGGTTGCGGAAGTAGCCCACCTTGGACGCCAGGTCTCGGTCGTCCTCGACCTCGACCTCGTGGAGCAGGCCCGCGTGGGCGGCCGCCGCGGGGGGCTCCGTCCTCATCCTGGGCCAGCTGTGCCTGACCGCCCAAGCGAGCACAGGCGCCAGGGCGCGCTGCAGCACTCCGCTGCAGTGCTGCATCATGCTCATCACGGCGGCCGCCTCGGGAAGGAGAACGGGTGAGCGACGAAAGGAAGCGGGCCTCAGGCGAGACGACAAAGCGCCCTTCCGCGGCGGCGGGCCGCCAGCGCACCACGATGCACTGGAAACGAGGGCGCTTGCGCACGACCTTACGCGGGCAGTTTACGCAGGAATGTCGGCGCAGTCGAGCCCGTTTTCCTGCGTCGCTAATGCAGCATCAATGCGCAGAGGAACCCGCAGAGGTCCGCGCGGACTCCCTGGACCGGCGCTGGACCTCCGCGCGTCAGGGGCGGCGCCCAAGGCGCCGCTAGCGGAACCCAGCGCCGATCCAAGAACTCCGCGCGGACTTCCCGAAGTGTGAATGTGTGTGTAAGTGTAAGTGTAAGTGTGTGTGCAAGTGTGTGTGTGTGTGAGAGTGTGCGTGTGCGTGTGCGTGTGCGTGTGCGTGTGTGTGTGCGTGTGTTTGTGTGTGTGTGTGTGTTTGTGTGTGTTTGTGTGTGTGTTTGTGTGTTTGGGTGTGTGGGTGCGTGTGTGTGTGTGTGCGTGTGCGTGTGTGTGTGTGTTCATGTTCGGCGGGAACTCATGGTAGTCTTCCGCACCATCTTGTCAGCTCTCCAGAATCGACGCGAATCGACGCCAATCGGCGCCAGTCGACGCCAGTCGACGCTAGATCGGCACTACATCGACGCCAATCGGCGCTAAAAGACGCTACGTCGGCACCATCGCATCGATTACCTGACGCTAGTCGAAGCTAGCCGACGCTAAAAACTGAATTCAGATGGTGCCCTTTTTCCGTCGCAGCGCGGCAGAGGCAGTCCGCACGCGCGCTCTAGTGGGCCGGGCTATAGCAGGCACTATTTGTCCGGCGGCAAGAGAGGGTAGAGAAGGGCGGAGCGCGGCCGCGGAGGCAGGAATGGGAGGGAGGGACACTCACAGCGCGAGGCACTTCGACTGGAGTGGCTGGGCGGCCAGCCCGTGCTGACGCAGCCTGACAGTGAACGCGGGGTGGCACCGGGGCATGGCGCAATCGGACCTAGGCCAGAACCACATCCTTCAAGCACATGAGACCCTCAGCCGGCCAAAACTGAAGAACAGTCGAGGGCACCTTCCCCCAGGGCGCACAAGAACACCCAGCGAACACGAAGAACGCCAGGGTACCCTTCCCGAGCCGACCTCGATCTCACACCTCGGCCCAGCTGTACACACGGCTCCCATGATTTGCCACCGAACTCGTGGCCGCCCCTGCCCCTCTCCCCCGGGCCTCCGAGGCGGCCCGTCCGACCTCCTCCATCGCGTCGGCCGGGCCCTCCATCCTGCTTGGGGGGCCCCCGAGGACCGCGTGGTGCTACAAGCCCAGCTGAGAGTTAAGAAACTTTCGGCTCAGAAAATGGCCTTCGTTCTCAGCGATTTCTCAAACGGCAGTCCAGGTCCCGATGGACGATCATTCCACGAAGACAAGGGGCCCCAAGAAAACGCCCAGAGTCCAGTCCAGATCCCTGAATTTCTTATGCGAAATCTGGAGCACGCGAAAATGCACGCTTTTTCGATCGATCTCTGACGGGTGTGCAGTCGAGGTTGACTGGAGAGGACACGCGAGAGGACACCAGACCCTGAGGGCCACACTGCCGCAGGAATGCCGAGGGCACGGGTCGCGAAACACGGGGCACGAAGGCACCCTCGATCTGGCAAGGTCGACCTATACGAATCAGCCTCGACCGTGGGCTGTGCGGTCCGAACCGCACGGTTTTTGTTTAGCTTTTGGGGGTCCCAGGCTGCCCGAGACATCCTCGGAGAACGACCAGGAGTCCCGAAACGGTGCGGTCGGTCACCACACGGTCAGCGGCGAGCCCTGGGGGGGGGGAGTGAGTGGTCACCACCCCGCTTGGGGACCTTCTCCCAAAACATGCGACGTCTCGATTTTTGACCAGCTTCTCGTCGCGAGATGTTCTTTGACTGTCCCAGGGCCCAGCGAGGGATCTCAGATGCCGCACGACGCGACCATGTCTGTTAGATACTCGTTTCGGGGACCTGTGTGAAGCCACCCGCTCCACTCATGCATCGATGCTGCGTCGACCGTCCGTCGACTTAACTTGAGTCGAACCTGAGTCGAGCCCGAGTCGAACTCGAGTCGAGCTGGAATCGAACTGGTGTTACATTTTGACGGCGCGCACAAGGGGTAGGGATAGGGGGAGAGGGGGGAAGGCTTCCTAGGAGGCTGCTTCTTCGAAGGCGCTGGCCCTTTATCTGCAGACAAGGCCCGCGCCCTCTGAGAACCAAGGGTGCCTCTAAGAAGCCTCCCCCCCCGCCCCCCAGCCCCTCTGCGCGTGGCCAAGAGCTGGAGTCGAACCAGAGTCGAACAGATCCCCCTGGTTGGGCCCCAAGAAGGTCTCCAAAGCGCGCATCTGATGTCTGGGGTCCCATCCTGCTCCGAACTCTCGACCAAGTCCCCTCGGCACCGGCTCTTCACCCCGAGCCGCTTGCTGACGGCCTCGAGGCCCAGGAAGGGCCCCGAGAGGCCGAAAACGATGAAATCCTCCGTCTCCCCGTAGATCCAATGCGGGGTCCCTGGCAGTCTCGGCCCACTCCCAGGGACTGGCTTTCCATCCTGAATCGTTTTCTGACGGTCCCGGGGCCTGGCGAGGGACCCCGGTGTCCGAAAACAGCGTAACACCTTCCGTCGTGATTTTTTCGTGATTCGAGGGGGTCTGGGTATCGACTTGCTCGAGATGCGAGGGGGTCTGGGCTCCTTCACGGCGCCTGCACGTCTCTTTCGACGCCAGAAACGGTTACGGAACAAAGTTTGGCACAATGCCCAACAAATCTTGTCCCAAACTGACAGCGGCCGCTGTTAGGACGACGGTCTTCTCTCTCAAATTGACAACGTCCGCAGCGACACCGACAGAGAGTCCCGCTCAAAATGAACAGGAACTGTTGTGGGGCATCGTACTCCAGATTTCGTCATAAGCGGGAAGGGGTCACGACCCTCCCAGACGAGCCATTTTTGACCCCCCAGGCCAGCCATGAAAGGGCGGCCTCTTGCCCAGACCCCGTCGGGCCCTCCAAGACAGCTCCAACCAAACCCCCCCTCCACTTTCTTGCGCAGTCTGGACTATACCCGTGCCTTCCGTGTCCGTTTCGCTCGTGCCGAGTCTGAGCCCGTCCTGCTCCGCAGCGGCGCGTGCCGGGCGCACAGGCGCGCCAGCGCGCGCCGTAGCGCGGCGGCGTCGAGCGGCGCGGGCGCGCGCAGCGTCCAGTGCATCGGCGCGTGCAGCAGGCCCTCCCGTGGGACGCACAAGGGCATAGAAGTACTATGTGTACTCCTTCCCAGACCCCCTCGAGTCATGCACAAAAACCCGACGAGAGGTTGTTCGCAAGTTTCGGCCTCCCATGGCCCTTCTCAGGCCTCGGGACCGTCCAAAAACGAACCAGGATGAGGAACTGGTCCTGGCGAATGGGTCGAGACCTTTGGGGGTCGACGTTATGGAAAAAGACATCGTGGGTCTGATTTGCAGGGGTGCGTCCGATCCGAACATATAGTACACCCATACTATATACTATATCCTTTCCCGAACGGTAACGGTCAGAAAGAGCCCGCCACGGAACTTCTACGATCAAATTTCTCGGCGCGCGCGCGTCGCCACTGGGGAAGCGACCGTTACTGTGCCCCTCGGTGCTTCCGCGTCATTCTATCATGCGGAGTTCAACCTTGAACGCCTTCGCCGGCATAATTAGCCGGCGCGCCATCGCCGCGTTAACCTACCGTGCTAGTACAATGTGTCCTCTTTGGAGGCGTGCGTCCAAACCGAACATGTAGCACAATCATATGACGGTATTATCCTTTCCCGAGCGGTGCGGCCAGAAAGCGCCCGCCGCAGAGCTTATGTCATGAGATTTCTCGTCGCGCGCGTCGCCCACGGGGGAACGACGCACAAATAGTATGTTTGGGTGACGCCGGTCCGAGGAAAGCCCCGAATCGAATCGATAAGACACATCGGCGATATAATCGAACCGGATCGGCGGAAGTCGGCAGCCAGGTCCGGAGAAGTCCAATTGGTGGGAATCGGCAGGCTGGTAAAAAACCTCGACTGAGAGACCGAAGCCCAAACCGGAATCCGAAGTCGAATCGAATCGAAGTCTGAATCGCTCGAAATAAATTCGAATCGACTCTGAGGAATCGAAGTGCGCCTCGCCCCCACCCCGCTGGCGCGCGGAGCGCGCCAGGGGCGGCGCCGGAGGCGCCGTCTGGGGGCTATAGCGCCAATCCAGGAGCCAAGAGAACCGCGAGGAGATGGCGTTCTCTGATCGAAGTGAGCTCCTCTACTCTCGCGCTCACTCGCGCCGAGATCGGAATGAGCCCTGCCTCCGCCTTCCACACGGGCCGGCGAAGAGGTTTGTCATCCTGAGGCCCGAGGCCGAGGCCCGGCAAGGGCCCCCGGAGGCCGAACATCGCTCAAAAACTTCCGTCGTGTTTTTGTTCATGACCCGAGGGGGTCTGGGGAGGAAGCATCGGTCGCAATCAAATCGAATCGAGTCGCAAGATGGGACGCACGAGGGCATTACTAGTAATTACTGCGTGTCCTCCGTGGAGGCGTGCGGCCAACCTCAACATATAGCACAGCCATCGTATAACACATCCTTTCCCGAGCGGTGTGGCCAGAAAGTGCCCGCCGCCGCGCATACACTGGAAGATTCCTCGGCGGGCGAGTCGCCCCTGGGGGGACGACGCACACATAGTATTAGTGTGTTGGGGTGACGCGGAGAAGAATCGAGACGAGCCCAGCGTACGCGACGACGGGACGGCCTCACAAGAAGCCCACAGACGGGAAAGCAAGGCAAGGGTAGCGGTATGGGTACCAAATCCTCCTCCGAGAACCGATCCAGACCAAACTGAGTCGGAGCGAGGTGGAGGACGAGGAGGAGGACGAGGAGGAGGAGGAGGAGGAGGAGGAGGGGAGGAAAGGAGGAGGGGGAGGAAGAGGAGAATGAGAAGGGGAGGAGGAGGGGGAAGCATCAAGACGCGCCTTGAGCTGAAGAAAATTGGGTGGCTGCGCTCCACGACCCACGGAAAAGGGTTCAAAACTGTACCGAGGCACTTAGGGCCCCATTCGAATTAACGCCACCGCGGAAACCGCCGGACCCGGGTGCCTCCACACACGAGGGGGAAGGTAGAGGGGGGGAAGGGGGAGAGGAGGAGGAGGAGGAGGAGGCGGAGGAGGAGGAGGAATAGGAGGAGGGACGATAAGGAGGGACGCGGAGGAGGAGGAGGAGGACGAAAAGGAGGAAAAGGACGACGACGACGACGACACGTGGAGGATAGTGAGAAAACGGAAGAGGATGACGCTGAGGAGGATAACGAGTTGGAGGAGGAGGAGGAGAATAATGAGGAGGATAAGGACGGGTGAAGAGGAGGAGGAGGAGGAGGAGAAGCAGGAGGAAGAGGAGGAGGGAGAGGATGAGCAGGAGGAGGAGGAGGAGGAGGAGGAGGAGGAGGAGGAGGAGGAGGAGGAGGAGGAGGAGGGGGGACGAGAAGAAGGAGGAGGAGTATTAGGAGGACGACGAGGAGGGAAATGAGGAGAAGGATGAGGAGGAGGACGACGACGATAAGGAGAATATTTAGGAGGATAATGAGGAGAATGAGGAGGAGGGCGATGATGAGGAGGAGAAGGAGGAGGACGAGGAGGACGACTCGAATCGATCCCGAGTCGAGCCTCCGCCGTCCACACAGGCCGCTCCGCGGCGCTGGCCCCGGCGGAGGTGGGCCCCCCGCTGGGCCCGCCGGGCGGCGCGGGCGCTGGGGGGGCGGCCGCCTCTGCGGAGGAGGGGGAGGAGGAGGAGGAGGAGGAGGAGGAGGAGGAGGAGGAGGAGGAGGGAGGAGGAGGAGGAGGAGGAGGAGGAGGAGGAGGAGGAGGAGGAGGAGGAGGAGGAGGAGGAGGAGGAGGAGGCAGGAGGAGGAGAGGAGGGGGAGGAGGAGGAGGAGGAGGAGGAGGAGGAGGAGGAGGAGGAGGAGGAGGAGGAGGAGGAGTGCTCCGCTCCTCCCGCAGCGAGCTGGAGGAGACGAAAGAGGGGAGGAGGAGGAGGAGGAGGAGGAGGAGGAGGAGGAGGAGGAGGAGGAGGAGGAGGAGGAGGAGGAGGGACGCGAGGAGGAGGAGGAAAAGCAGGAAAAGGAGGAGGAGGAGGAGGGGGAGGAGAAAAAGAATGAGGAGCAGGAGGTGGAGGAGGGGGAGGAGGGCGAGCGAGCAATAGCAGGATAGGAGGAAGAGGAGGAGGAGGAGGAGGAGGAAGGAGAAGGATGAGGAGAAGAAGAAGAAGAAGAAGAAGAAGAAGAGAGACGAGGAGGAGGAAGAAAAGGAGGACGGCTCTTGGGGCGGCTCTTTGGGGCGAGGAGGAGGAGGAGGAGGAGAGGAGAGGAGGAGGAGGAAGAGGAGGAGGAGGAGGAGGAGGAGGAGGGGGATGCATCGCTCGTCGCGCAACGAGTTGGGGGAGGAGGAGGACCCAGACCCCCTTGAGCAATGGAACAAAAACACGACAAACAATGTTGTCCTGTTTTTCGGCCTCCAGGAACCCTCGCCGGGCCCCGGGAGCGTCAAACAACTACTCAGGATGACAAGCCGGCCCCGTGGGATGGGTCGAGACCTCTGGGGGTCGACGTTATGACAAATCATGACGTCGGGAGCCTGGGGAGGGGGAGAGGGAGGAGGAGCAGAAGGGAGAGCGAGCGAAGGAGGAGGAGGAGGAGGAGGAGGAGGAGGAGGAGGAGGAGGAGGAGGAGGAGGAGGAGGAGGAGGAGGAGGAGGAGAGGAGGAGAGGAGGAGGAGAAGGAGGAGGAGGAGAAGGATGTAAGTATCGCTCCACGCGCGACGAAGAGAATTCTAGAGCACTCGGCGACGACGGTGCCGATAGGTGCCAGATGTGCAAGCGCCTGGTTGGTGGCACTGTGGCCATGCTAGGGTGGCACATCTTTGCCCTTGGATAGGCGCTGGATCACCCACTTGCCATTTTTTGTCGGGAGTCAACGTTTATCAACAAGGCCTTTCGGAGGAGGGAGAGCGAGCGAGCGAGCAGGAGGAGGAGGAGGAGGAGAAGGCCGCCTCCACGAGTGCCTCCAGCCCGGGCAGGTCCACGCAGCCGCTGCAGGCCTCCATCAACGCACGGCTCCCGATCGCGGCGCCCAGCTCCCGCTGCAGCGCCCCCGCGACGCGCATAAGCTGCAGCGAGCCGAGGCCCGCCAAAGGCTCCTCGCTGGCGGGACGCAGCGCAGAGGACGCGCGAAGGGGGGGTGGAGAAGGGGGGCGGGGGGGGGCAAGAGGGGAAGAGGAGGAGGAGGAGGAGGAGGAGGAGGAGGAGGAGGAGGAGGAGGAGGAGGAGAATGAGAATGAGGGAAGAAGGAGTAGAGCAGGAGAGGAGGAGGAGGAGGAGGAGGAGGAGGAGTGCAAAGAAGATCAGGATAGGACCAAGAGGAGGAGAAAAAAAAGGAGAAGGGGGAGAAAGAGTAGAGTAGGAGAAGGAGGAGGAGAGGAGGAGAGGAGGAGGAGGAGGAGGGAGATGGAGGAGGAGGAGGGGAGAAAGAGAAGGAGGAGGGGAGGAGGAGGAGAGGAGGAGGAGGAGGAGGAGGAGGAGAGGGAGGAGGAAGTGGGGAGGAAGGGGAAGGGGAAGGGAGGAGGGAGAAGGAATTTGGGGCAGGAGGAGAAGAAGGCAGGAGGATCAGGGGAGGATCAAGGGGAGGAGGAGGAGGAGGAGAGGAGGAGGAGGAGGAAAGGAGAAGGAGGAGGAGGAGGAGGAGAAGAAGGAGGAG